TTCATCTCAGAAAGACGATAATAAAGTTCATCAGATCACATTTCACTCCTGCTTCTTTATCTGCTTGAAAGTTAAAGCCACTATTGAGGAAAATACATGTTTTATTAGCATGCAAATTTTTTTCTGGGGTTTTTAGAGCACAACGTTTTCTCTTCATAATTGTAGAAGAACCTTTTCTAATTTGTTTTTGTGTTGGAGGAATGTGATGCTCAAACTGTCCAGAAGTGGGCGCACTTCCGCTAATAGATGAGCTAGCTTTTTTCTGCACCTTAGCATGTTTGCTAACATTTGGCATACTTAGCTTTCCCTAAATAACGTTTTCCAGATCAGTTCTGAAGTACTGAATTATTCATCTGTTTTGAAAACATTCAGTTGAATGAAGCTCAACAAGACGAGACGTGATTGGTCGATACAACGACCCAACAGAGCTTGAGATTGGTCATTGTTTCCAGCTTATGGCTTTAGCATTAGCTAAGCTACTGTATATGATCAATGAATGCTTTAGCGCTGCTAAGTTTAGTTAGCGCTGCTAAGTTTAGTTAGCGGTGCGTCTGGAGCAGGTTTGGTTGAATTGGACCCGTTGATCCAACAAACTGCTCTGATTTTTGCTGTTTATGAATTGCACTAAATGGATGTAAAATGGGGAAAATTAGAAATAATACATGATGTAACTGATAACGCTGAGGAGCCATGATCACAGTACTTAAGATTTTTAAAAGTTTAAATGGTGGAAATTGTTGATATTTGGGTGTAAATGCAGTTCAGAACAATCAGTTGATCCAGTTTACCTGAACTGAACTGGTTCTGATGACTCAGTGCCCCAAACTTAATTATTATTAATTACATTAACCTCTGCTTTTTAGGCTAAAGTACAATTATTTTTAAATGTTATGTCTTTTTTTAACTTATTAGATTTTTATTTAAAATTTCAGAATAAGAGATTTTATCACCAAGGACTTTGTTTCATGTAATGTGCGCATTCAACCACTAGAGGGCAGAGTCTGTCAGTGACCTGTGCAGGATATCCCAGTATAACCTGAGCCAGCCATGCTGACGGTGTCACAGAGGTGGGATCTGTGTCTCCTCATACATTTGGCCTCGTTTTCCAGTTATTTCAGCTGCAGGAAGTGATCATTAATTTATCGCCTCATCGCCGAGTCGTCACAGTTTTACATCATTTATGGAGAAGTTCCCTTTCCTCCTCTTAAGCCTGGATCTGATCTCATCCAACATGACGTCGTGTTGGAGGCAGAGTGGGTTTCCTCAGGAAAACGGCTCTGCTTTATAAAACAACCTTCAGCTTCTGATCAGACAGCTTTTATAGTTATTTCTCTTTCAGCAATAAAGTCCAATATTAGAGTCCAGTTTCTGTTGCTGATGGGGATGAATCATGGAGATTTAAAAACCGGAGCCATGCTGTCTCACTCCGACCTCAAGTCAACTCGCTTTGGATTTCCAGGCTTGTGACGGAAACCGCTCAGACTTGGTTCTAATAAAAGAAGAAGATCTGCATCCCGGTTTGCTCCGGCAGCCCTTAAAGCGGTCCTCCAGTTGAGGGTGACCCAGTTGCTTCCAGCACTGGAGGAACAGCAGAGGAGGAGGAGAGGAGCATGTGGGAAACTGCTATGATTAATGTGCCTTCAGAGGTGGACTGAGCCAGAAAGGAGGCCGAACTGAAGGATGTTTTCATCAGATCTCAGCCCACAGCTGATACCTCCAGGATGATTCTGCATGTCATCATTAAATTATCAGCACTGATGTCTAACAGCAGGAATACAGACGGGACTCATCACAGCAATCAGTGACAAACTGCTTTTTCACAGCCCAGAATCAAAACCATCAGAGGATTTAACCCGACCAGAGGCAGAACATTTAATCACTGCCTGGAGGCTCAACACCGTCAGAAACAAATCGATGATAGAGGCTGACTTTGAAAAGCAGTCCTGGAGTTCCACAGGGCGTGTGTTCGCTACACTCATCCTTTCAGTTTATTTTCCTGATGTTTAACCTCTTAATGTCATGTTATTAAAGACGGGTTTTCTAATTATTTTTTATTATTTTTTTGATCATGACGATGATGACGGCGGTGATGTTTTCATTGTTTTCATGTTTTCATGTTTTTATTGTTTTCATTGTTTTTATTGTTTTCATGTTTTCATTGTTTTCACGTTTTCATTATTTTCATGTTCTCATGTTTTCGTCTTTTTATTGTTTTTATGTTTTCATTGTTTTCATGTTTTTATTGTTTTCATTGTTTTCATGTTTTCATTGTTTTCATGTTTTCATTGTTTCACTCTGCAGGTCTTCTCTGTTACCTGTTTCAGTCCTGAGTTTTTTCCGCCTGGCCTATAAAATGTCCCAGTTAGTAACTGGGTCTCCTGCTGCTGGAGGTGCTGGTGGTGTAAGGAGGAGGCAACAGGATGGAGGCAGCAGGGTGGAGGCAGCAGGATGGAGGCAGCAGGGTGGAGGCTCCTCCATCTTGCCTGTGTTCCCACCTCTCAGCCTTTTCGTCGCCTCTGGAATTGCTTTAGGCGGCCGGACGTGTCCGGACAGGCGCCGGGCTCATCACCATCTCTCTGGAGCGGCTCAGACTTATTGCTCCTCTTTTTCTGTTTCTGGTTTCTTCATCGTCTCACCCTCCTCGCCCTCCTCGTCCTCCTCGTCCTCCTGCTCAGCTGCGGGTCTCTGACCTGCAGGAGTCCAGAAACACCAACATAAAACGCCGCAGCTCTGATTTCCTGCCCACTGCTGCAGCGTCGTTGCCTCGTGTGCTACATGCATGAGCTGCTCCCAGAGAGGCTCATTAGGAACCACATCCTCCCCAGCAGGCGCCGCACGTCCAGACTCCTCCCTCTGCTGTCCGTGTTCAACGTGTTTGACCAGGTTTCCATCACCAGCTGCTTTCAGTCACCAGAGCTTCGGCCTCAGCCTGACCTTTAACCTTTAACACCTCCAGTAAAATTAAGAACATTATTCCACAGAAAATTCTCAACTTTCAACTTAAAAGAGCAAATACTGACATGTTCACACACACACACACACACACACACACACTCACACACACACACACTCACACCCACACACACACTCACACACACACACACTCACACACACACACTCACACACACACACACTCACACACACACACACACACACACTCACACACACACACACTCACACACACACACACACACACACACCCCCACACACACACACACACACCCACACACACACACTCACACACACACACACTCACTCACACACACACACACACTCACACACACACCTGGAACCAGGTCCACTCAGGACCGGTTCCACCGGGCCCCGGGTGGACCCGGTCCCACCGGTCCTGAGTGGACCTGGTTCCACCGGGTCCCCCGGTGGGCCCCGGGTGGACCCGGTCCCACCGGTCCTGAGTGGACCCGGTCCGTTGCTCTGGCCGCCTGCCTCTGTTGCCATTATCGGCATCCTGCTCGACTTCCCATGGCCGTTGTCATGGTGATGATGGTTTATTGGCTGATCTCCATGCAGGTGATGAATGTTTCATGATGTCATCATGCAGAACCGGCCCGACAGAAACACTGACCCGGGTTCAGTGATTAGAACCTGAGAAAAAACTCAGAATAAAACAATAATTCTGCATTTCCCATTTCTTCACATCACACAGAATTTGTGTTTCACTGAGTTTAATATTCATATTTTATATTCATGGTTTCAATGTTTTCATGAAATAAAAATATAAATTATGTGTTCACCCCTTTACTCTGACACCCAGAGCAAAATCCAGAGCAACGTCTGATGTTTAGTTTATTTTGAAATATCTGAATGAGTTTGACATTTTTTTGGTCCGTTATTTGTTTATATATTTTTTTTATCATTTGTTATTTAACTGTTATTTTTGTGTGATGTCACTGGTTCTTGGTTTGTTAAAGTTTATATGTTGTCTTGTTTACGTCAGGATTAATATTCTGTGATAAAACCTGAACAGGAAGTTGTTTTTGGTAGTTTTTGCCGTTCCCTCGTTGTGGATCGTGTTTCATCATTTTCACTCAAACTTAGACAAACTTTCCATCCAGACCTGGATCTATGAAATCCTCTGGTACTTCCTGTTCCAGTCCAGCTGGGCGTCTGGCCCTTTAAATGCCTTCAGGCTTTGCTCTGTGAAATTCCCAGCTGGAAACTGGATGCAGGAACATCAGGAAGCTGCTGCTGTTCAGTTTGGTCCCAACGTTAAAGAAAAGTTTGGCCACTCAGGTTCATGTTTGAAAATTTCTCTTCTAATTTTTGTTACATTTCCTGAAATGTTGAAGCAAAAGAAAACAGACAGAAATGTTTTTATGAATTTATTTGTTTTTACTTCCAGGTTAATCAGATCAAATATCTGTTTTGGGTTAATAAATGACCAATGTATGTCATGCACCTGTATTGTAAAAAAAACACAAAACCTGAATTAAGAGTCAGAGTAAAGAGTCAAATTTCCTGAGCTGCTCTTCAGATTCAAAATGGCGTCTCAGTTTAACAAGAGCAGAAAAGCAGCATGACGTCACGGTTTGTTGTTTCTGGTGCTTCTTTGTCCCGCCTCCTCATCATTTCTGTCCAATGGGAGCAAAGATCATCAGATGCTGCAGCAGCCACCCCTCACGGCCTGCCGCCCTGGGCAGAGAGCCATGTTCATATCAGACCATGTGTTTGGATCAGAACTCGCTGGAATCTGAGCCTGTAAATGATCTTCCGCTCCGGTTCCGGTTGTATTTCTGCTCTCTGGGAATCAGATGATCATGTCCTCCACCTGAGCAGCGCCAACGCCCCCTACCTCTCTCTCCTCTCTTTCTCTCTCTCTCCTTTCTCTCTCTCTCTCTCTCCTCTCTCTCTTCTCTCTCTCTCTCTCTCTCTCTCTCTCCTCTCTCTCTCTCTCTCTCCTCTCTCTCTCTCCTCTCTCTCTCCTGCAGCTCCGCCTGCCTCCTGCTGGCGGGGAGACGCGCCGCTCGGAGCCGCTCACTGCTGTCGCCTCGGATTGAATTTCTGCTCGGAGGTTTTCCGGCTCCGGTCCGCAGAGCCGCTCTTTGCCTGGAAGTTTCCCAGCGCGGAGCTGCATGGAGCGGCTCTAGGAGGAGCCGCAGCCCGGAGAGGAGGGACCAGTCCAGGCCGAACAGGAACCAGAACCACGGTCAAGGTGAGCATCACTGGGTTTTCTGTTTCCCCTCAGCGAACAGAAAATGCTCCAGAGATTCTTTCACCTGTTTCTGTGGTTTAAAGCAACGTGAAGATTTGATTTGCACTTTATTTTAATTTGCTCCAGTCAGAATTAAGAGTCAGAATAAAGAGTCAGAATAAAGAGTCAGAGTAAAGAATCAGAATAAAGAGTCAGAATAAAGAGTCAGAATAAAGAGTCAGAGTAAAGAGTCAGAATAAAGAGTCAGAATAAAGAGTCAGAATAAAGAGTCAGAATAAAGAGTCAGAGTAAAGAATTAGAATAAAGAGTCAGAGTAAAGAGTCAGAGTAAAGAGTCAGAATAAAGAGTCAGAGTAAAGAGTCAGAATAAAGAGTCAGAGTAAAGAGTCAGAGTAAAGAGTCAGAGTAAAGAGTCAGAATAAAGAGTCAGAATAAAGAGTCAGAATAAAGAGTCAGAATAAAGAGTCAGAGTAAAGAATCAGAATAAAGAGTCAGAATAAAGAGTCAGAGTAAAGAGTCAGAATAAAGAGTCAGAATAAAGAGTCAGAGTAAAGAGTCAGAGTAAAGAGTCAGAATAAAGAGTCAGAGTAAAGAGTCAGAGTAAAGAGTCAGAATAAAGAGTCAGAGTAAAGAATTAGAATAAAGAGTCAGAGTAAAGAGTCAGAATAAAGAGTCAGAGTAAAGAGTCAGAGTAAAGAGTCAGAGTAAAGAGTCAGAGTAAAGAGTCAGAGTAAAGAGTCAGAGTAAAGAGTCAGAATAAAGAGTCAGAGTAAAGAGTCAGAGTAAAGAGTCAGAATAAAGAGTCAGAGTAAAGAATTAGAATAAAGAGTCAGAGTAAAGAGTCAGAGTAAAGAGTCAGAGTAAAGAGTCAGAGTAAAGAGTCAGAATAAAGAGTCAGAGTAAAGAATCAGAATAAAGAGTCAGAGTAAAGAGTCACAAAGTGTCAGAAAAGCTTCGCAGCCTCCAGGTTGTAAATCCTGAGTGTCTCATTGTGTGAAAGCTTCACCAGTGGAGGTGATGCTGAGTTTGAGTTCAGCTGATTTGGCTCTTTTCCTGCAGCAGCTGGAGCTCATCAGCATTAATTGCTGCACTTTGTGCTGCGGATCATTCTGGACCAGAACCAGCAGCATCGATCCGTTTTACTGCGTCCTGTAAGTTTTGATCCCTGCATGTCAGTAATAATTCAATCGACTTGAATCTAGAAAGGAGATCCTGGTCAGTCGACACTTTAAGGAATTGGATTTTTGTCTGAATATTGTAAATGAAAATCAGATCAGAAATGAAAATGTTTTCTGGTGAAGAAAAACCCAACCTGGCTGAACTTCACTTGTTTTCTTACTGAACATTTTCAACTCTTTGTCTCCAGATCTGGTAGATTCCCCTGGTTCTCTCTTACGGTGTCCCACAAGGCCCAGTTGGCTTTGCTCTCTGTTTTTCCACGCGGCTCGGTTCTGATGGAGCTTCATTCGTCGTCTCTCCATCCTGCCTGAAACGTGCCGCCATGATGCTGCTGCTTCATCTGTGCAGGCTTTAGATGCATTTCAGTTTTCTGGTGTCATCAGAAGGATTATGATGCGCAAACTAAATCCTTCTGATTTTTAAAACATAAAAACTCAAAACTTTCTTTTAGCTGTTCACAAATCTGAATCTCTGTGCAATTTGGAGGTGTGTGCACTTCCTCCCTGCTGGGAGTTCAACTCAAACCAGTTTCAATGCTCCGGCTCTGAACTTTATTTCACAAGATGACCAACAGAAGAGCAGAGATTCATCTGCTTCATATGAATATTGACTTTTGATTCTATTGTTTGAATTCCCTCCTGGTTTCAGTTTGGAGTCTGATGACCCCATTGCTCGGAGTATTTTCTGTTTCTTTAGAGCCTGAAAGGTTGGATGTCTGCTGAAAATATCTCCATGTTTAAACAAACAACAGGAGGAAAAGGTGAAACAACAGAGAATCAAAGTTTTGAGGTTGAGGACGGAGGAGGCTGAGAGTTTCAGAAAGTCAGAGATTCATCTCCAGAAATAATTCAGCTGAGATCAGGAGGATGAAAGCAGCAGCAGGACTTCATGAAACCGTATAATTTGAGCCGCTGCATCGCTCATCCCTGACATCTCATCGCAGCGCCGCTGGACTGGCATTTACCTAAATGTCAGGTGTGAGCACACATGTGGGCGGACCGTCTCATTTACAGGGATGTTTAATTAATACTTGACGGTTTAACAGCCGGCACCTGCCGCGAGCATCAAAGCTTCTGGCAGAGACTCGCCGGAATCCGTTGTTGGTTTGTTTGTGCCGAGTTTGAGGCGGAAACGTTTGTGATGTGAAAGAGGTCAGGAGTCAGAGGAGCCGTTCTGAGCTGCTTCGCTTTTAAACTCCAGGCTATTTCAGGAAGCCAATCTTTCACTTTCCTTCCTGAAACCAGACTGATAAGAACAGACTGGATCAGTATCTCTTCCTGTTGAAAAAGTACAGTTTTCTGAAATGCATGTTTCACTGGGGCTGAAAACGGAAACAAATTGCAGGAGGTGAAGCAGATTTTCAATAAATAATGAAGTAAGATTTAATATTCTCTGATCTGCTGCCAGTCGTTTGTCTGCATCTTTCTGTTACAGAAAAACTCTACAACTCGCAGAAAATATGAATTTTCAACATGAATAACTTGATGCCTTCAGGCTGGAATTAGTGAGTGCGCCCCCTGCAGTCAGAGTTATGAACTGCAGCTGATAATCTGCAGAATGGGCCAATTTTTATCCGAATAAACGTTCGAATAATCATTAGAATAACTAAAATAATCAAGCTGGATCGTTATTGAAGTGTACCCCATCATGATGCTGCCACCGCCGTGCTTCACAGTGGGCTGCTGCATTCTGTTAGTTTAGTGCAGGTTTGTTCAGACGGGCCGATGTTCTCCCGACCCGTCTGCTGGGTTCTGTCGTCTTCATGGTTCTGGTTTTTCTCTGAGCCCAGAACCAGAACATCTGGTTAAATTAAACCCAGCAGGACTCTGTGATTATAGGTCCATCAGACATGAAGCTTTTCTGTGTCTGTAATCCTGATCTTCATGTTTCTTCCTCTCATCTTGGCACAAACTCTTCAGGAAGTCTCTGTTTTTTTCTCTCTGGTCATTCTGCACATATTGGACCAGAACTGGAAACAGAACCCGCCTGTTCCCGTCTTCAGCTCCGATCAGCTCCAGTGAATCCAGTTTCCCAGGATGAACCGACTGGAGCAGCTGATTCTTCCGGCATCTCAGCTGATTTCCTTTCACTTTCCCATCCAATCGAACCAGAGCAGAAACTTCCTGGTTGACCTGCCAGAGGTCAACTGTTGACCTGCCAGAGGTCGACTGTTGACCTGCCAGAGGTCGACTGTTGACCTGCCAGAGGTCGACTGTTTATTTCTGTTAGCAAACAGAAATAATTTACCACCAACAGAAGTTTGGTCTGCACTGCAAAAACACAAAAAAGTCTTTAGTTTATTTTCTGGTTCACTTCAAATGAGACAAAACTAATTTATCTGCAACATTTTAGGAAGGAATAGCAGATTATTTCAATCAATAATTTGATTGAAAATCAAATTATTTATCACAGAATATTTTCTCATGTCATAATTGAAATAATATGATGGACGAACTAGCATTGTTTTCATCAATGCTAAGGAATTATTGACTCAAAACTGTCTCGTATAACTTGCTGAAAAGTTCTTTGTAATTTAGTTTAGTCTTATTTTAAGTGAAATATGATATTTGCATTAGAAACCAGATAAAATACTTGGTAAGATTTTGTGTTTTTGCAGTGTGAACCGTCTTGCTGCTTCTCATCATGGTGTATGTAAACTTGTGGCTTCAGCCGGTTGCTCCTGGTTGGAGCACGTCTGTTTTCCTGCTCCGTGTTTATCTGTGGCCCCGGAGGAGCCAACAGGAAGTGTGTTTACGAGGCGGCGGCGTTGGATTCTGCCTTCTGCAGCCATTAAAGCCAAACGGGTCCGAGCTCCAGCCCTGAGGCACGCCCAGGCTGCAGAGATCTGGCCTCCTCCTGCTGCCAGCGCCATCTGCTGGTGGAAACTGATCTTTAATCCTGGCAGGATTCCCCAGCAGACCCGCTGCGCTCCGACTGCAGGGGCCCGGCGTCACAAAGCGCTCAGGAGGGAAGTGAAGCTGCAGCGTCGCTTTGGGTGGATCTGATGATGAAGAGAGTTTTAACAAAAATAGATCAAACAGTCTAAAACGCTGCAACAAAAGCCAGGATACTTCAGAAGTTGAGTGAAAATCCTGAAGTTTCCAAACATCAAGCTGACGTACGGAAGGAAAACACGTCCAGGTGTCTCTGCAAAGGCTGAGGAAGAAAAACCCAGAATGTTTCCTGAGACGGAGGGAAATGGACCAGGATGTTCAGCTCCCAACTGGAAACCAGTGAACAGAAAAGGATCTGAAGCAGAAAGAAACTCCGGCTCTGAAACCGGAGCTTTAAGGCTTCACATGTGCAGCTGTTCACATGGACAAGGCAAAAGTCTCCTGCACAAAACGCAGTGAGGTCCAACGGGACGAAGGAGAAGCTCAGCAGAAGTCGGTACCTCATGAAGATCTGCTGTTGATGCAGCTGCAATGTTTCATGGTGACAGATTCAGATGAAATCATCCAGATTTCATTTCAATAATGAGATTTAAAGACACGTCACATGCTTTTTATGACGCTTGTTGAAGATTGAATTCAGAAGATTTGAAATGTTCATCGCTGCTGAGATCTTAAAAAGAATTGATTTTAATGTGGAGCCGCTTTGAATCCAGCAGACATTTTGTGAAATTTCAGTTGATAGAATATTTTTCTGTTCTTATTTAAGTTTGTGTGAATCATATTTGCAGGGATGTCCGTCTGCATGATGCTGCAAACGCAGCTAGAAATCTCTGTAGGCAAAATCAAACGGCGAAGATGGGAGCGTTCATCTGAAAACCAGTCGGTTGTTTCTGAGGCCTCAGCGACGGCGGAGGAAAATCCGACCATCTGGTTTGGCTGAGGAAACGGCCAAGAGGAGCCGAGCCAAAGAGGAGACGGATCAGGAACAACTGGTCAGAGTTTCCTCCTTCAGTCGTTTCACACTGAATCTGGGCTCAACCTGAAAGACGCCGATGTTCCTCTGATGAAGCAGAAAAATGGAAAAACGTTGTTCTGCAAACAACCTGCTGCTGCTGCTACTGAAAGGCATGCTGGGAGATCCGGCTCAAAAATAACCTCAGTGTTTTTCATTCCAGATTCTGATTTGAATGTTTCTTTTCAAGGGCAGGAAAATATTTTAAGTGTTTTTTTTTGTTGGTTGTACTCAGGAGTGTTTGTTTAATTATGAGAATAAAGTCATTGCATTAGTAAAATAGAGACAATATTCCCAGAAAAATCCTGAAAATGAGCAGAAATCGATTTGATGAGAAAAATCTTGAACTTTCACACTGAGCTGATGTGATCAGCTTCGTCGCTGCTCAATAGTTTCAAAGTCCAGATGATACTTTGATGCTCAGGCGATGAAATATTTACTTATTTATAAAACTGACATCATAACTTCAAAAGATCCTCGTTTTATTATCATTGTTGCTGCTTCTCATTCCAAATATTCTGACTTTATTCTCATAATCTAAACCTTTAGCCTCGTCCTGCCAGCCATCATGAAGTCGACCTGAAGTCCAAATGAATGGAACCTGAAAACAAGATGGCCGCCCCGAACTACGGAAACCCACAGAGGTCATTAGTGGAAAAAAATCCAAATTGTTCCAAAATGAAATCCAAACAAAAAGTGAAATTTACTGACAATTTATGTTTTCACCTGGACCTGCTGATGAAAAGCAGATGAAACATGTTGATGTTGGGAACCTTCATGTTGGGAACGTTCACGTTGGGAACCTTCATGTTGGGAACGTTCAAGTTGGGAACCTTCATGTTGGGAACCTTCATGTTGGGAACCTTCATGTTGGGAACGTTCATGTTGGGAACGTTCATGTTGGGAACCTTCATGTTGGGAACTTTCACGTTGGGAACCTTCATGTTGGGAACCTTCATGCTGGGAACCTTCATGTTGGGAACCTTCATGTTGGGAACCTTCATGCTGGGAACCTTCATGTTGGGAACGTTCACGTTGGGAACTTTCACGTTGGGAACGTCTTCCGTCCGGATCGGGTCACAGAATCACAGGAAGAATCTGGAAACTGATTCTTTCTGGATTTGGCGCTGCAGAGATGAACTGGAACAGATGACAGATTTTTATTGCATCTTTGATCTTCAGCTTCTTGCCTGTTTGTAGTCCTTCCTCCTCCTCCTCCTCCTCCTCCTCCTTCTCTCCTTCTCCTCCTCCTCCTCCTCCTTCTCCTCCTCCTCCTCCTCCTCCTCCTCCTCCTCCTTCTCCTCCTCCTCCTCCTCCTCCTCCTCCTCCTTCTCCTCCTTCTCCTCCTCCTCCTCCTCCTTCTCCTCCTCCTCCTCCTCCTCCTCTTCTCCTCCTTCTCCTCCTCCTCCTCCTCCTTCTCCTCCTCCTCCTCCTCCTCCTCCTCCTCCTTCTCCTCCTCCTCCTCCTCCTCCTCCTCCTCTTCTTTCTTCTCCTCTTCCTCCTCCTCCTCCTCCTCCTCCTCCTCCTTCTCCTCTTCCTCCTCCTCATTCTCGTTTCTGTCCGCCAGCGCTCAGAGATCTGACGGCATGCGAAGGCAGCATCACTGTAATCAGGTTCAGCTAAATCCTCCTCTTACTGTACAGGAAACCCATTTATTATATATTAACTATGATTCACAATTCCTCTCTATTTGCTTCTTTTTGTGTGAAATAACCTCGATTGTTCTTAAAATGCTCATCATTTGTTGGTTTTATGGAGATTATTGGTTTGGAAAGGAAAAGCTTCAGCCAAATTGGAAACATTTTGATCATTTCTGTTAAAATCATAAAATAAAGACGTTTTGCTCATTCTTTGTGTCCAACATGTTGCATAACCCCAGCATGTCAACAACCAGGAAGTGATTAAAACGATGAAACCAGTGAAGTGACTGACGGCTGCAGCAGCTTCTGCAGCAGCTTCTGCAGCAGCTTCTGCAGCAGCTTCTGCAGCAGCTTCTGCAGCAGCTTCTGCAGCAGCTTCTGCAGCTGATCGTTTCTTTCATGTCTGAACTTTCTGCTGTTCAGATGAAATATTGAATGTGTTAATATTTGAACGTTATGAGGTCATTTCATTTCCTCCTCTCCTCTCAGGAAGCGCCGGGAAGCCGGACCTCGTCCTTCAGAGCTCTTCTCCTCCGGATCCGATGGCTGAAATGGTACGTAGATCCGCCTGACGTTCTGCTGAACGACGAGACCTCCGACACACGAACGCATCATCACTATGATGATGATGATGATGATGGGCTTTTCTCTCTGCTCAGATTTGTTTAAGCTCAACTTTTTCTTGATTTTTTCATGTATTTTTAGAATTTCAGTTTTTCATTTTTCATCCACAGTTAAAACGCAGCTGAGATAAAAACTGAGTTTTTATCCTGGAAGCCTTTTTAAAGGTCAGGATGGGTGCTCTCCAGGGGGCGCTATAAACACAACCTGGTGGATTTCAGGTGGTTTTGTTGCTCTGAAGTTTTGGGAAGTTTCTGCATTTGGAGGAAACTTGTCTGAATATTTTTGGTTTCTTTTATCAGGGCTGAAGTTCAGTTCAGATAGATGCTGCGCTGCGTTCAGGTTCCCAGATGCTGCGCTGCGTTCAGGTTCCCAGATGCTGTGCTGCGTTCAGGTTCCCAGATGCTGTGCTGCGTTCAGGTTCCCAGATGCTGTGCTGCGTTCAGGTTCCCAGATGCTGTGTTGCATTCAGGTTCCCAGATGCTGTGCTGCGTTCAGGTTCCCAGATGCTGCGCTGCGTTCAGGTTCCCAGATGCTGTGTTGCATTCAGGTTCCCAGATGCTGTGTTGCATTCAGGTTCCCAGATGCTGTGTTGCATTCAGGTTCCCAGATGCTGCGCTGCATTCAGGTTCCCAGATGCTGTGCTGTGTTCAGGTTCCCAAATGCTGCAGCTGCAGCATCACTGCCATCATAAAGTGTTAATTTCCTGCAGCTCGGGGGTTTATGATGAATTTGTTGTGATTGTTGATGTTTTGGTGTCAAGTGGACAGAGAAATGTTTCAGATTCAGGAATATTTTTCTCTGCCAGATGAAAAATGAAATGCGCCTCAGATGAAATTTTATTAGCAAATATTAAGTATTTAACTTTAGATGAAAGTGATAAAAAGTTAACTTCCTAACGTCCGTTTGTCTGCAGCCTGAACTAATAAAGTTTTTATTGCCACTTCCTGTTTCCAGATCAAAGCAAATGAATCTGATTTATTCAGTTTAGATTTTAATAATGAAGCAGCTGGAGAAACACACTCATCAAAGCTGTTAGCGCCCCCTGCTGGTTGGCATGAACCAACCAATCAGTTTATTAATGTGGTCAAATTTTGATCAAAAACTAAATTATGTCCATAAAAAGTTTTAGCTCCTGCATATGATCCATGACTGATCAATACAGAAAATATCTATATTGTTTACAAGCAAATGTTATTATGTATGAAATAAATGTTTGTAATTTAGATTTTTATTGGAATAAAACGGAAACATCTTTTATTTGTCCTTCCAGCTGCATCAGCCTCAAAGTGACCGGCGTATGGCCGCATATAGAGATGATAATCATAATAAAATAAGAGGAAACTGTTTAGGATTTTATTAAAGCGAGTCGCTGAGGCGCCAGAGCCTCTGGTTCCCTCTGGTTCCCTAGAACCACAGGGAACCTTCTCTTAACATCTGATAAAAGAAGGGAATTATTCTAATTATTTATCTTCATTTTAGGAACAATAAAAGTTGATTTATTGTTACTTTGACTCCATAACCAGATCAGAACTGTTAGTGATAATGAGATCAATGTATCAGTTTTATAAATGATCATAAATGATAAACAGTTAATATTTTAACACATCAGATTATCAGCAGCTGGATTTGGTGGAAAAAGGAAAATCACAGACTGCTTTAGAACAAAGATCAATATAATCTTTCTGATCATATTGAACTTTTATGATTTTTGTTCTCATAATTAAACTCAAATGCTACATTATAGATTTCTTCCTTTGATGTTGATTAAATGTTTTGGTTCAGTTTTATGTTCTTTGGACATAATAATTTATTTGTGTTCATGTAGTTTACTGGTTATTAAAAAGCAGAAAGTTTCTCTGGTGGGTCAGTAAAAGGTCAGTGTGCTTGAACTAGGCCACTCAGCAGAGACACCTGGATGAGGCCAGGAGGATCTGATCAGATCGTGTTGCTGGAGCTGCTGCGGCTCCAGGTTCTGGGCTCTCAGGCGTGTGATTGGCTCTGCGTGTGATTGGCTCTGCGTGTGATTGGCTCTGCGTGTGATTGGCTCTGCGTGTGATTGGCTCTGCGTGTGATTGGCTCTGCGTGTGATTGGCTCCGTGTGATTGGCTCTCCGTGTCGCTGTTTCTGCTGGCTGGTCTTTGTTCTGCTCATGTTGCTCTTTAAATCTGGTTCATTTATCTCAAGCAGCTGCATTGATTGCTGTCTTGGCCGCTCGGCCATCGATTGGACACTTTCCCACTTGTCGTGTCTCGTCTTGGTTTCATGACCTGCTGCTTCTGAGCTTTGGTTTATTTCAGACCTTCACATGAACAAACAAGCAGATGGAAAACAAAATGGATAAATCTTCAGGACTTTCCCTCTGCTTGTTATTCACCAGCAGGTAGAAATAAATTTTAATCTTTTAACTTTGCCTTTTCTCAAACAAAATGCCAGTTAAAACAACAAGCGATCATCCTTTCTACGTCAATTTTTAACTGTTTTAAGTTTTCACTGCTTCAGCTGAACATGCAGCGACACAAAAGTTCCTCCTTAATAGAATTTCATATTTAAATCCTTAAACGTTGTTTAATGTTTGTGTCATTAAACACGAACAGATTTATTAACTAAATCTGTGTCTTTAAGTCACTTTGCTTTCAGAAAAGTAAATTGATATGATAAAAATATTCAACATTATGAGTGATGCATGTTGCTTTCTTTAGTCATAATTTACAGCTGTAATAATGTATGTGTAGGTGCTACCCTAAAGCTCTGAACAGTCAGTTAATCATGAGGTTAATGTACAGCATGGAGTCTGGACTGAACTTCATTGAGGACAGTTTAGATTCCAAATACTTGATGTGTAATTTCCAGTTTAGCTGAGACTTTATGTCTTTATTTTCCTCTTTTATTCTGAAGCATATTCTCGGGTTTGTGCTAAAAGCCTCGTCAGTTTCATCAGGAAGTCTGTTAATTCATTGAGACATCGCAGATGGCAGCGAAAACGAGACACCAGCTTGAAAAGTCTGTTTGGGAAACGAGCGCAGATAAAAGTGGGACATGGAGAAAATAACGTGTGTGTGTGTGTGTGTGTGTGTGTGTGTGTGTGTGTGTGTGTGTGTGTGTGTGTGGGATGTGGGGTCCAAGTTTTTGAGTGAGCAAATAAATTAGCAGCCAAGTGAATAAATTTGGCAGAGAAGTGAGAACGAGGACACAAGATAAACGCAGTTGGATTAATTTCAGGGTGAAGCGGCCCGGTTCGGTTCAGGCCCGGTTCGGTTCAGGCCCGGTTCGGTTCAGGCCCGGTTCAGGCCCGTTTGGTTCTTCCTCTGCAAAGGTCATTGAGCATCACCAGTTCATTATGATCCATATTATGCTGCCCTCACGATGTGTAGCTGGTACAAAGCTAGACAGCTAGCTTACACTTAAAAGGTCTTTGAGCCGAAAATAATCCAGTCCTTGTTTTATTTTGCAACTCTGCTTTGTTTTATTTTTCCTTTCCTTTTTTCCTTTTTTCTTTTTTGTAAAAAGACAAATGGTGTCCAAGGGACAAACGTGTCTGAGCAGTCGGTAACACCGTGCGTATCACTGGACGAGCTCTGCTCAACTGACAAAACTAACTAAACAAACGATAGCCACTAGGTGTCAGTAATTACATTTACAATATAAAACTAAACAAAACATACTGATGGAGTCAGCACACTCCCCGCTTGGCAAAATAACATTTTGACAATATATTCACAGAAAACTGTCCATATTCAAATGCCTTCAGAAAGCAGAACAACAATTTCTGAAACGGGTCTGAGGAAAGTCTTGGCATGTCCCCCTTTCGTTGTCTTCACTTCTACCTTGCGTACAATCTTGTCGCTGCTCGGCAAGGTTTTCACAATGATTCCAATGGGCCAGTCGTTCCTGTGGACTTGACTGTCTTTAAGTAAAACAACATCTCCCACCTTTATGTTGTTTTTTTGCTGAGTCCATTTCCTGCGCACTTGTAGAGTGGACAAGTATTCCCGTTTCCATCTCTTCCAAAAGGTGTCTGCAAGACACTGGACATGTTTCCATTGTTTACCTTGGAGAACACCCATCTTGAATTCACCATGAGGAGCTGACACAGTGCTTGTCTTTTGGGTAAGCAGCATGGCTGGAGTGAGAATGGTTGGCATCTCAGGATCAGTAGATACAGGCACAAGAGGTCTGGCATTCATGATTGCCATGACTTCAGCCATGAGAGTGCTCAAAACCTCATGTGTGAGATGAGTGTGTACTGTTTGGAGTAACATAGCATCTAGAATGCGTCTGGCTACACCAATGAGTCTCTCCCATGAACCACCCATGTGTGATGAATGTGGTGGGTTAAAAATCCATGTGCATCCTTTGCTTTGGAGATAAGATTCAACCACTGCCTCCTTGGAGTTGATGTTCAGTTCTCTGCATGCGCCCACAAAGTTGGTTCCCCTATCAGATCGGAGAAGCTTGGCAGGACCGCGGATAGCAAAAAATCTCCTCAGAGCGTTGATGAAGCTATCTGTTGACATAGATTCCACCAGCTCTATGTGCACAGCTCTGGTTGACATACAAGTGAAAAGGACTGCCCACCGCTTACTATTAGCACTTCCTCCTCTAGTGCGGCGTGTACTGATGGTCCATGGTCCAAAAACATCAAGACCCACATTCGTGAATGGAGGTTCCGGTGTAAGTCTATCTGCAGGTAGATCTGCCATTTTCTGATGTTGCAAACGTCCACGTAGCTTGCGGCAGATAACGCATTTATGGATTACAGAAGAGACTAGACGCTTGGATCCAATAATCCAATAGCCAGCAGCTCTTATAGCTCCTTCTGTTATGTGGCGACCTTGGTGAGCCACCTCTTTATGAAAAAATCTCACAAGTAATGTGGCAATGTGACATGTTCGGAATGATCAGTGGATGTTTCTCTTCATTTGACATCTCT